GTGTGTGTGTGTGTGTGTGTGTGTGTGTGTGTGTGTGTGTGTGTGTGTGTGTGTGTGTGTGTTCTTTGTGGATGATTTGCAACACTTGGTGTGCTTACAGTGGCGCGGACGCGGTGTGTTGTGCGGATTATTGTCGCTTTGAGACGCGGCGGATGATGAAAGACGTCTTTCATAGGAAACAAAAAAAAAAAAACAGGAGCAAACTCTCTCCGCTGTGCGTCTTTACGCGCGTGTAATACCAAAAAAAAAACAGTATATGGTGTTCTGCAGCTCGTTTTTGCGCACGCTCTCTCTCTCTCTCTCTCACACACACACACACACTTCATAAGCATGTGTGCCCTCATTCATGCCTCTGTATTTTTGTGCGCGTGCGTCCGTGCACCGCCACCAGAACGCACACCCACCCACACTTTCTTTTCTTTCCCCTTGTTCAGCCTCATCTCCCCCCTCCCTTTGGCCCCCAGAGTTTAAAGAGGAGGCGTCGGTTCTATTCAGCGTCCCCCCCCCACACACACACACACACACTCACACCCCCACGCACTCACACACCACCACCTCCTCCCATCTCCAGGCTTTCTGAAACCTATCCATGCCCCCTACTCATGGGGGGCTTCCAGAGACCGCGGTGAAGTTAGTTTTAAGTTCAATACTGGATATTCTTATTTTAAAAAAAGTCACTGATGATGAAGAAATAAACTAATAATATTTAGTTTCGTTTTCTACTGAAGTGACAAAAAAAAAAGAATACTGGATATTGTTGCTCCGGGAACTTCCCCTCGTCTCCGGTGAAAGCAGTCTGATGTCGGCCTGCTGCCGTTCAGTTGCTCGCTCCTCCACACATGTGGTTCTCTTAGGGACCATCCATAAATTACTGACCAAAAAAAAAAAGGTTGAGTAACAAAAATCACTGGCATTCAGGTCATGTGACCCAGACAAACAAAACATGCCAAACTGTACATGAGGCACAACCATTTTTATTTGACTTTATTTTATTTATTTTTTTTTTACAAATATTTATGTCAAATCGATGATTTTTCTTCAATAGCTTCCAGGTCATGCACTCTAAAAATGAAATGTTGGATTTACTTAACCATGTTATGTGACCTGGTTCCACTTAACTGAGTTTAGTAATTTCAAAGCAACATACTCATGTTCTTTGGTTTAAAAACTGGTATATTGCTTTGAATTTACTCAACTCAGTTAAGTGGAACCAGGTCACATAACATGGTTAAGTCAATCCAACATTTCATTTTTTACAGTGTGTTGTCTATTGACTATAAATCAGTGTGAAATTGTTCAATTATTATGGACATATGAGGCASACTCATTTTTATTCCGTTTGTCCTGTTTTGATTACAGTATTTGATGTTCACGTGTGAAATGTGTGCTGCCTACAAAGCCCCTCAAATTACAGACAGGGTGAGACCAAAACACAGTTGTCAATGTATAAATCTGAAGCACAGGACACAAGGAGTAACTGTAGGTAATCGATAGATCCCATAACCTGAAGCCATTGAAGAAGAATCATAAATGTTGACTAAATAAATAGATGAAATTTTAAAAAAAGGTTTAAAATTTAATTTAAAAAATGGATGTGTCTCATCTGTCTATAATATTAGAACAATTTCACACTGATTTTGAGTTGATAGACAACATGACCTGGGGTCAGAAAAGATTGCATGGAAACCATACTAAAAGTGAACGTACGACCAAAAGGTGAAAATGGCGTACGCAAAAAAAAAATCAGATTTATAAAACTGTGCGCACGTTTCTGCGCACCTTTCATTTTTAGATCACAGCCGCACCTCAGAGTTTGCGCACGAGGTCCCGCCTCAGGTTCTACCCTCTACACGCCCACACTCARCCATAAACAGTCAATGTAAAGTACCTCATGAATGTTAAAATGCATTTAAATCAGTCAGCTGATCARTGTCAACAAAAGTGATTGGCTGAGACACGCTCYGTCGTGCTTCTGGAGGATGACAGGTGCTGACAGCTGCTCACGTGAACAGATTAKCTGTAATTGACACTTTTCCCTCATTTTGCAGGTTTACAGACGTTTAGAGTAATCTAATGATTTTTATCCAAAAACTCAGCTGCAAATTAATTTTCTCTCAGAGCCTGCAGGACGATAAAACAATAAATAAAATTAAATAAGTCAGATAAAGTTAAGTCATCCCAGGAATAGACCACGGACATTAAAAAGTGAATCTATTATAACACATCCACGCTGGCGATGGCACGCGTACCCAAAGCGTGACTACCCAAGGTTTTTGCTGTCATGCTGTCGAACTGTCTCTTGTCGGGGAAGGGTCTGTGGTCAGGGTCGTGAGGAGGAAGGAGATGGAGATGTGTGAACTTTTATTTAAGATTTAAGTTTTTTATTTCAAAGATCCTCATGGCTCAGCAGCAGAAGCATAAATTATACTGTTAAGAAAGCTAAAGTCTTTCTAAAATCTAAGTCTGATGAAGGTAAATTAAATATCTGACAGTGATCATTACACTGTGTGGCTCTAATTCCTCACTTCACCATCTGTGTCGCAGTTTCCCGTCTCCAAAATGAGCGTACACATGGGTCAGAGCTGGCGTGAGGCACCGCACTTTTTCACATCAAGTTTGGATTTTATAAATCACAACCTTGGCGTGAAAAGTGGCGTACGCAAGTTTCTGGGCTCATTTTGTGCGCACGCAAGCTTTATAAATCTGACCCCTGGAATCTATTGAAGAAAAATCATTAGTTTAACAAAATAAACTCTAAAAAATAGAAAATGAAATAAAGTCAAATGAAACTGGTTGTGCCTCGTGTGTCTCATGTACAACTGTAATAATTGTTCTGACATCTGAGTGTCCGAAGCTCAGTTTTAACTACTGTAGTTTTACTCCTTTCTTTGAATAAAAAMATGGGGGGGGGGGGGGGGATGTTAGAAGCGTCTAAACTGTGTGATACAAAGATTATTTTACTAGTTTGTTTCTCAATAAAAATCTGACGTTTCTTTTTGAGTGAAATAGAACACTCTCATTTATTTTTTAAAAACATGTTTTTAAAATATTTCAAAATGTGTTTTTCAAGGACAGTTACCCCTAACTAAAGTAATTTTTATTGACATTTTTTATTTTAAAAAGTAAGAGTACACAACTACGTTTATAACAGTTGTTGATGTCTTGCTTGTCGAAGAAACTCTGAAACTCTGAACGTTGTTGTAAAATACCGCTCTCTAGTGGTAAACTGTGAGGCCAACACTAAGATTAAATACTATACAGCTGCCATTAACATTTTTTATTAATATTTTTTATATAAAACAAATATTGTAAACATTTTGACYTTACTAGATTTCACTTGTATTTTAATTACATTTGTATATTTCTGGCATGAGAGTTACACTATTAGATGTGTTTGAAAACAAACAATTTTTTTTATCTTTGTCAAATAAATGAACACCTTATTGTTTTCAACATGTCAGAGTGTTGACTTTCATAATCTGTTTGTTTTAAACACAACTGTTTTATTATTTGATGATTATGATTTAATCAGATCAGAATCAGGGATGGTTGCATAAATCAAAATATTCCGTTTTCTTCAGGATTAAATAAAAAAAAATCCAATAGATGGGAAGGAAAGACAACACAGTGCACATGCGTAGTGTGGCCACTAGGGGCCAGTATTTAACGTAAAAGTCATRGAACAATGTTAAAAATAACAACCCTGTTATTGTTTATTAGTAATGACTACAGGGTTATTCAAGTCTATGTAAAAAATGCAATTAAACGTTTGTCTTGTCTTGAATCCAAATAAGGATAGAAGCTATAAAAGGTTAGCAGGTAAAATTATTTTTTGATCTTTTCATGTGTTTTCCGAAAAATCGTTTTTGAGCATTTAAAAAAGTCATAGTTTTAAACTAGGCAATCAAAAAAGAAATTAAAAAGAAATTTTATTTATTGACACAATGTTGTGTAATTGCTTTCAAAAACTTTTTWAATGTAAAAACACTTGTTTTAAAAAGTACTTTTTTGATTTGCGGAGAAGCCTTTTTGGTTCTATTAAGCTTCCGTAGGTTTGTGGTCACGTGGTTTTGTTTTTAAGGAAGTAGCACCGTAGTAGATGCTTTAGCGGCTTCTGTTGGTCTTTTCTGACATTAAATCGAGTTTCATGCATGTTTAGACCGTGTAAATGAGTTAAAGCAGAAAATAGCAGCAATGCGTTCTTTAAACTTTGTCCACCGGATCAGTTTGGACTTCTCCGGAACCATGTTTCCTCACGCTATCTGTTTGGGAGACGCTGACAACGACTCGGTAATCATTTGTTTGCATTTTTCAGGTTTGGGTTGATAACATCACAGCTAAATATGCTTTAAAATCTTAGATAAATTAAGATGAATTCGTCTGTTAAAGACCATATTAAAGTAAAGAGACTTGTTCAAGTTCTGATATTTTTTTAATGACTTATTCATTCAGAACAGGTGTGTCATACATTCAGGACGGTGGCCCTCGAGGACCAGGATTAGGAGATTTTATTTTTATCAGAGGGACACAATAGAAAAATCTAATGACAGTTTATAGGATTTACACAGAGTATATTTATATTTTATCAGCTGTTTGTTCAGTTTTAGCTAATGCAGCTAAATTAAAGCCCTGTCTGTTTCCATCCTCTGCAGCTGAACGAGCTGATTGTTGGAGATACGAATGGAAAGCTGCTCATTTACAAGAACGACGATTCCAAACCCTGGATCACAAGAACCTGTGTGGGAATGGTCAGTACAGAACCAGAACTCTTAATAAATTAAGAATAAATGGGATTATGTAACGTGTCCTGGTTTTACAGCTGACGTGTGTCGCAGTTGGAGATGTCTGCAACAAAGGAAAGGTAAAAATAAAAACACAAGC